AGCCAGGTTTTCCCTACGTAACCAAGGTTTTTCTGCAGCCCCAGCTCAGTAGAATCACATCCACTCGATTCTGGGCTTTTTTCTTTTCTAGCAGCCAGCAAGCTCTTCCTGCTAGGTGGGAGACCTATATAGATCTATTTCCAGCTCGTTTGCTTTCATCAATAGGCCACACCCACATCCACACTCACGAGAGCCACACAGGATGTAACCACCACACATCCACGCAGAAAGCAGACTCAAACCCACACTGGTGATCAGGCACGACCATGGACCAGAAGCCAGACCACAGCTGCATCATTAGCCACTTTAAACCCCTCCAATCCATACATGAAGCAGACTGACACCCAACATGAAGAGATGGCACGGCCATGAACACGAAGCCAAACAACAGCAACACAGCTCACCAGCTCAAATCCCCCTGCTACTTAGACTAACCCGAGCACAACCAAGCCCCCACCTAAACAGAACACACACCCATCCAATCAGAGCACAGCCAACCCCCCATCCAATCAGAGCACAGCCAAACCCCCACCTAATCAGAATACACCTCCACCCAATCAGAACACAGCCAAGCTCCCACCCAATCAGTTCACACCCCCACTGGCAGTTAAAAGGAGGAAACAGCTGTGATCACACACATTGCTCCTAGAAGCACAAAGCCGAGAACACCAGCCTGAAGATGACGAATGAGACTTCGTCAAAACGTTGCCAAGACTCCTCCAATTTTACGCGGGAGAAAACCCGAATAACCAAAGACCTACACACACACACACACACACACACCCATGTATATGTATATGTATATGTATGTATATATATAAAGTTTATATATATTTTCAATTATATGTTTATTATGTGTACATAATTCAGTTTCATATTTAATGTTATGTTGTTCATGCTTTTTACCTGTATTAAATCTTTCAATTTAATAAAGTTTTCTCCAAATTGTCATATTTTTCAAAATTTAAAATAAGAAAGTTCAGTTCAAATTGTCAAAAGCCTTCTCCACATCGAAAAAATAGACATGGCTTGTTTTTTTCATTAAGATGTTCTAAATAGTCTAAGATATTAAGAATATTTTTGGCACTCTGTAGATATGTGGTCACATGATCTTTTTCCAACTTATTGTTTCCCTTCTTTTTTGGCTTTTCTTTTTGTTTAGTGAAGTCAACCAATCATCTTTAGCAAGATGATTTAGCAAGATGATTTGCTGTATTTGTTATACTTCCCTCCTTTTGACCCAATTGCATTTCCTCCAGGTTTTCTTTCAACCTTTGATAAAAAAATTTGTTACATATCTATGCTATATGTGCACTGCTTGAAATGTATTGACAGTAACTGTACCTGTTTGGAAGATGGGGTAATGATTTCCTCTTCTTGCTACTAAGTGATTAGCACTGACTGCAATGAATGAGATCTTCATGAACAGCTTTAATAAAGACACTGTTGACTGAAAGTATTATTATAGACCCAATTCAAATTAAAGAAGGTTAAAGTAACAGGTCCCATCAATTTAAATACTTCTAAGGTTTGCAGTGTCTGGATGCAAACTATTGTCAGTGCAGAACAGACTTCAGTTTAAAAATCTAATTTCATTTGAACCCATTTGGTGCTACAGCTGCAACTTGAGCCCATCAGCCATCATTTCTGTTTCTATTACAGCATTTCCTTCTGCCTTTAGTTCTCAGTAATGATATTGATATGTGTGACAAAGAGAACCTGTATCATTAATGAATATGCAGATAGTTGCCAAATCAGAATTTTTCTTTCAGTGTGTCTTGAACCAAACACCCACACTTTTTCTAATGGATGCAGAATTCCTCCTTACGCTGGATTTCATTGATGCTCAGAGCGCCCTTCCAAGTCAGAAAAGCAAACCTTTAGTAGTGGATAAATTTGAGATGTGTTGTAGATGTCCTTATAAAATAGTTTTCATATGGACTGTGCACGGCACACACACATATATATACAAATATATTACAAGCAGACACCTTCTAGAAACCCATTAAAGCTACCACATGAGAGATACAAAGATGGTAAATAAACACAACTATTTTCTTTGCTCCCATCTAGTGGGCACCAGGATTTTAGCAGTAGAGTATTTCTTCCCAGATGCCTACCTTATACTTTTTCTGAGCTAGCTTCTACATTTTCAATCAAATAATTGCAGCTACCTGATGTTTTTATTTTCAAATATATATATAGTCCTATATCTAGAATGTTTCAATAAATAAGACTATGTTATAAATTGGAATTTTGCAAAATTCCATCTTATAGTTTAAATTTCAAAACTTAAAATATGAAATAAAATCTAATTTCAGGAAAGTACAAAGGAAAGAGTCTGTGGAGTCTTTGAATGCCACTCTGTCTACATCTGAAAGTGACTTAATTTACAAATGAGAAGACACAAGGATTGAAGTGAACACAGGTTTCTATCTAGTTGCTACGCTAGCCAAAACGTAATGGTCATGGGTAAACATGTCCAGTTTTTCAAAATACCAAAATATTTTTACGGTGCTTTGAATGTTCATATACGCTCTCTCTAGGCCTAACAATGTTAAGGCCTAGAACACCTAAGAACTGAACAAGAAACTTAAAAGTATTTGCATATGAAGAAAATTGTTAATTTTAAATATGTAGATAACTGAATTAAAATGACATTCCTTAAAATTGTAGTAGCCAAGAGCAGCATAGGTAATTATTTCTGAAAAATTTTCCCTTTCAATTGAGCATTGGGTTGTGCCATTAAGTGGCAAATCCTATATCCTACAGTTTTCAATGGTATATTGTTCAGAGGACAGTTTTGGTAATGAGGGGGTGCTGTATTAAAAAACCACTCCCAACAAGGTTTGATCTCCCAAGCGATCAAGCCCTCAGTACCACTCCTAATTTTTACTGCAGGAAAGCTATTGGGGAAAAAGAGAAAGATAAATACCCAAATAACCTTAGCTGGCTAAATTGCTTAAGCATCATTTTCAAATTGTGCTGGCTGTGCTTTAGCAAGAAGCAGTGGAATGTTTCAAGATTAATGGGAAGGGAACTTACCTCAGTTAGCCTTCTAAATTGTTTGACTAAGGAACCAGTAAAGTTTACCATTGGCCACATTCATTGTGGAGTTGGAAGGGAACACAAGGAATGTCTAATCCAACCTCTGCAATGTACAGGTAAATCAATTAAGCTGTCTTTGAGACTTGCCTGACCAGTCTCTTCCTAAAAACCTCGCCAGAGAGGGAAAACCCCATACTTCCATAGAGTAGTTTGTATGATTGTCAAGATGTTTTCTTACACACTTGGTTGAAATCTTGGTAGCTGAAACTTAAATAGCCATTTTTTTTTTTCTGATTCTGCTTTCTGTGGCACTGGAAATCAGTTTCCGACCATCTTTTTTATGGCACCCTCTTATGTAACTGATACCATCTCTTTTCTCCAAACTGAATATACCAAGTTTCTTCAGACTGTCCTCAAAAGGCATGTCTTCAAGTCTTTGTTCCTGTGTTACCATCTTGTTCTAACCCCTCAATATCCTTTTTTAAAATACGATGTCCAGAATCAGACACAGCATTCCAGGTGTGATCTCACCAATGCAGTATTAGAAGGCAGTAAGGGCTTCGTATGTCTTTGAAACAGTGTTTCTTCTGGTGCAATCTAGAAATGTGTTAATTCCCATAGCTGCTTGTCAAGGCCATACTCAAGTCCTCCAGCGTAATGCTTCCAAACCGTGGATCCTGCTTCTTGTATGTGGTTCTTATATACTTTGTTTTTCCTGATTTTAATACCTTACTTTCTCCCTGCCAAAGGATATTTTATTCATTTCAGACCAGTTTCTCAATCACATTAGTTTGCAGCAGTGGTGAAATCCATTTTTTTTACCACTGGTTCTGTGGGCGTGGCTTGGTGGGTGTGATGTGGCTTGGTGGGTGTCACAGGGGAAGGATACTGCAAAATCTCCATTCCCTTCCCGCTCCTGGGGGAAGGATATTGCAAAATCTTCATTTCCACTCCACTCCAGGGCCAGGACACTGCAAAATCCCAATTCCCTCCCCACTCTTGGGGGAAGGATATTGCAAAATCTCCATTCCCACCCCACTCTGGGTCTAGCTAGAGGTGGTATTTGCCAGTTCTCCAAACTATTCAAAATTTCTGCTACCGGTCCTCTGAACTGCTCAAAATTTCCGCTACCGGTTCTCTAGAACCTGCTGGATTTCACCCCTGGTTTGCAGTCTTGGTGTTGGATGGCCTGGACAATTCTTGTCATCATAATTTGATAAGCAGCCCATCCGTTCTATTATCTAGGTCAGGGGTGGGCAAATGTGGCTCTTTTACAACCTGTGGACTTCAACTCCCAGAATTCCTGAGTCAGCTTGGCTGGGACCTTGGCTGTCTCAGGAATTCTGGGAGTTGAAGTCCACAGGTTGTAAATGAGCCACATTTGCCCACTCCTGGTCTAGATCATAAATAAAAACATTAGATAAGTTCTTGTACGTTGAGCACCAAATGAACAATGAGTACCAGGACAAACCTTTTGCAAAAAATGCACTAAATACCAAAATTGATGAGTTTCAAAGCAGTTGAATATCGAAGTACCATTGTACCATGTACAGTGTATACTATATGTATATACTATTTCATACTACAATTCTCAAGTTATTGGAAAAATACAATAAAAGTATTTCTATATCAGTTATGGACAGAGGTGGGCTGCACTTTCTTTAACAAAGGGTTCACTGGTTGTGAGCGCGCATGCACGCACACTCACTTCACTTGCATGCGCCCCTTTGGGGGAGAAGCGGAGCTTCAAACAGGCTCCTAATCAGCTCCTGTATGAACAGCAGGGGCGGCACGGAACGCAGCTGGGCCAGCCAACGAGCTAGAAAGTAAGTTATAAATGGATAGCATAGAAAAGCCCAGCCAGCGATCAGAGCTAAGGGAGACCATGCAGCAGCCCACCACTGGTTATGGAATCATTCTTAATCGTCCACAATTTCTCCCCCATGAAACAGGTCAGAACATTAAAGAGAGAAGAATTGTGAAAGCTCTCAATCTAAAAGAACACCAGTATGAATCTGGAGCCATTCCAACAGAGTGGGAAGGTAAGACTTTATTGGCATTGTTGGGGAAAAGCATGACTTACTGACGCCCACCTCTCCCAAGCCGTATAGAAAAGACACAAGACAAGATTTTCAGCCTAACCCTTACTCTAATGTAAGAATACTTAAGAAGGCACAAGTTTGTCTTTCTTGACATTTTATCTCTTCAGTTTGTCCAGACATCATTTTCTCTTGTACAGTGCTGTTCCATTTTAATAGATACAACCCCCTTCCCCCCTCCCCCGAAAAATGGAACTTGCAGATTGGTATAAACTTGATCCATAGCCTTAGATACATAAACCTAGATTCCAAAACTCAGTTCTAAAGTATTAACTTTAAAAAAGGACCCAGTTTGTGGGGGCAATAAGCTGACTTTGTATAAATATACAAAAGTATGAAGGCTATTGCTTAACGCATTGTAAGCCGCCCTGAGTCTCTGGAGAAGGGCGGCATATAAATCAAATTAAATAAATTTTAAAAAAAGAACAAACTGGGCAAGTTAATATAATGTCTGAAAGTTGGATAGAAAAATGCAAGACTCAGCTCTGAATGCATTTTGAAGTAAGAAAAGCAGTTTTGATCGAATGACCCTTGACAAGTATGCATGTAAGCTAAACTTTTTAGATGGTTTCCCCAAGATTAGGGTAAATTTGCACATCTAAGATTCTTATTACCTAGGAAATAAGCCATGTGTGGCAAGATACACTTTTAGTTGCATTTGCTTTTTTAACACAACACTTAAACATCCTTATAATTACTATAGCATTTTCTCCCCTTTGTGATTATTGCGGCACTGAATTGAAAGGATTTTTGAAGAGCATAGAAATAAAGTGTTATGAATAGTCTTTTTTCTTCTTCTTTAAACTCAGCTCCTTTTAGGGAAAGTGGAGAAAACGTTCAGAGTGCTTTGTTTTCTTATCCATTATTTAGGCAAAGAAGGTATGCAATGTATTTTTGTTTGTGACAGAGAACAGATAAGAACCCAGGTGCTTAAACACGAAGAGCAACATTAACAGGATTTTTTACTTAGCATTTCAACTGCTAAATGTTTCCATTTAGAGACTGTGATGTAAAAAAATTGCAGGCCACGTTTTGCTTTTTGGTTGGGTTGGTTTTAACAGCTGCAGCATTTATATAACTTAGTGTTCAAAACATTATTTCACTACATCAGTTCCAATGAATGAAGACATTTATTCCAGTTTTTAAAATTTTTCCCTATATGAAGCTGTGGGAATTTATCTTTTCCCATTCTTGCTAATGTGGAGTGTCCATTATAGTTTACATGCATTACAGAGTTTGTGCCTTTTTGCATATAACATACATTACAGGAACCTGTTGTTGCACATGTTTGTGGATGAAATTCTTTTTAATTTTTTTTGCATTTCTTTAATGGAGTAAGCATCTTGAGAATTTAATGAACAGAAAAGCAAACTGTGAATTGAAGGTGTGGGCATATTTTATATCTGGTGCAGAAACATGCACAAACAAGCTTTTCTCAAGCTTAATTATTATAATTAATTATTATTAATTATTATATATACCTCTTAAGCTGCATTTAATTCACGGGCCAGAGGATTCCCATTACTAAGTAAATAACTAAGTTTATAGTTGTACTGTAATCACAACTCATAACATATAACGTACCATAAAATAAAGTACAATAACCATAGAATAGTAAGACTCTCAATAGTTTACAGGTTAGACTTGATACTTGATACAGAACGCATGGGTTTCTATGTTTCTCAAAATGAAGTAGCACTTATAACTGTTTTACAGATTTCTTCATGCTCATTTTGCCCAATAAAGCTTGAAATAAAATAACATTAGAAACTGTTTTCCTTCTCCTTATTCATACTCTGTAAAGATAAGCAAAGAGTACATCTAAACTATAGGACTACATTATTGCTCATACATAGCAAGATATTCTTGATAGATAATAGTCAACTACAGTACTGAATTCTTCAAAGACTGTACAATTCATCTTTCTGCTCGGGATGAATAGAAATTAACATAGGATGTTTACTTCAATCAGGGTGGATAAAAATCAATGATTTTTTTTAAAAAATCAAAAAAATCAGATTTTTTTTATTTAAATTGGATTTTTTTAATTTAAATCGGATTTTTTTGATTTTTATCGAATTTATTTTAATAAAAAACTTTTGGGGTAAAAATCTATCGTAAGATAGTTTTCTATTTAAGATACATAAATAATTTAGTTTATTCAGCATGAAATGGAGCTTAGTTATGTAGCATGAGGCTGTATGTTCTGCAACACTGGGACTATCGGTGAGTCAACAGTGGGTCAAAGGAATAGCAGAGATGACAGTTGCTCTTTAAAAATTATGAATTAAATCGAGTTGATTTAAATCAAGCCTTTTTACTAGTGATTTAAATCATGATTTAAATTGTGATTTAAATCAACTCGATTTAAATCAAATCCACCCTGACTTCAATTGATTATTATTATTGTATTTCCTTTGTATATGTGCTATAAAATATTTTGTGTCATAAAATCTGGGTACATTTTACTTACAATCCTTTCAAATAAAAGTAAGCTGATGATTTTTACCAAACTCCCACAAAACTCCCAACTCCCTTCGGAAGCTTGAACATGAGTGTTCCTTGTTCAAACCAGGAACATAATAATAGAGGATTAGGAATGCTTTTATTGACATATCTAGGGAACATCCATATTTACTTTGCCTAGGATTCTTTTTAAGAGAAAATGCAAAGCATTATTTTTTCAGTGCAGAAAATGGTCATAACCTTTATGGCTTTTAATTCTCAGTGGACACTGATTGTATCCGAAGATAGAAGGTGCTATTTCCGTTTTCCATATTGTTAATCTTCGTGAAAAATATAGTCACTTTCAGTGTCTTTGGAGACGTCAGCATTTGTGTTTTTCATGCTGTATTTTACAGTCTGTGTGTTCAAGTTGGTCCCTCTTTGTTTAATGGGTAACATTTAGTGATTAATGGGAGTTTTAATTTGCATGCCCACTTTTACGCTTATTACAATGCGCTATATGCCACTAGGAGTCTTAAAGTTCAATGAAAATCTCATGCATACTAATGAGAATGCAGATGAGCACTGAAATGAAAGCATGCCAAGATCTCAAGATTGGAAATGTCCAGTTTATCTTGCTTACATTCTGCTTCGAAAATGGTAGCATTATCATGAACACATGCTGCAGATAATGCTATACCATATTTGTAATTAAAGACAATTGTTTAATTAAATGATTTGAACTACAGTGGATTTACAAAACTGGAAGAGCATGTTGCAAAATTGGACTCTGTCTATACATTTCTACACTTTCTTTGTTCAGTTTGGGTGGGAGGGTATTGTTCCACTTAGAAATTATTTTGGCTGCAGTTCCATGAAAGTGCTTTGTTTTGTTAGGATAGAACTTACAAAGTTTTTTCTAAAAACAGATGACACATTGGCTGTGTTTCAAAATTTGAAGAACAAGGGACAGTTCTATTAACAATTACTAAAATTGGGTCTGGCTTTATTTCACCATTTTTTTTCCTAAACTGAATTAGAGATTTTTTGTGCAATTCACATACTGTAGCAGAAATTCTTTGAAAATTACTAACTTCTAATAAAAGCATTGGATTTATTCATGTGGGCGGGGAGATTTATTATTTTAGTGGATTATATAGACTAACATCCTTCACAATCAGCACTGTTGGAAGACATGAACGATCAAGTTAAGGACGGAGAAAATCTGTCTATGCGGTCGCTAGGAGTAAAAATGACTTGATGACAGATAATCAATCAATAGTAGCCATGTTTGAGTATACTGAGTAGTATATATTGGGATACTATGTTTTTGAAGAATAAGGAAGCAACGAAATCTGTGAGGTTGCTTCTTATTATAATGATATTGCATTATTACTCATTTTTAAGTTCATTCGTAGCTGATTGTGAAAGATGTGTGAATTAATATCAGAGAAATCAACAGTAAAAATAGCCACCCATATTGGTCTGGTATTGAATCTAGTATGAAAACCATTTCTTTCTCATTTTATGCTGATCTTCAGTCTCACTGTCTCTTTCCCAGCAGAACTGTATATGGGGATAGAAAAGAAAATGATCTGAACTATACACTATTTTATTGGAGGAGTTTCTTGTGAATTATTTGCTTTCTTTTAAATAAGCCTATCTTATTCAGGTTGGCATTTTTAAGTCAGAACAAATTAAAATAATTTGGATGAATAAAATACATTTTTATATTTTTTTAAAATGGAAGACAATTATGCATATAATTTCTTGCAAAGCTCTGCTTCGGTGCTTCAGTTCTGGCCTTTTTAAACAACGTCATCACTTCTTAAGCAGATAATTGTCCCTTTTTAGGATTGCTTTATATCCTGCTTAAAAAAACAACTTAAAAAACATACTGTGTTTCCCCGAAAATAAGACTCTGTCTTATATTTTTTTAAACCCTGAAATAAGTGCTTGGCCTTATTGCCATGCGCTCAAAAGCCCGATTGGACTTATTATCAGGGGATGTCTTATTTTGGGGAAACAGGATAGCTTCCTGATATATTTACAACTAGATATTGCAGTTTAAAAAGTCTAGGATAGAAATAAAGTGTTGATTAAGATATTTATTAGTTCAGCTTATATACTCAGTCTTTTAATTAAAGCAGCTTGATCTTTAATGCAAAAAATAGAAAAATATTAAAGATGAAAATATTCAGCATACAAAGATGTGCTGTATTCAGTTTCAGGGTGAGCAGAGATAATTTAGGTCTGGCATTGGCACTTCACAATACCTATCAGCATTTGCTCGAGTTATATAAACTTTTTAAAAATCAAAACATGTTTTCCTAAGCCTGTATAGTTACTGTGAGAGGAAAAGGCACAGCTTATTTAAAGAGCTGCTGATAAGTACTGTGAAGGTCTCCCTGCCAACTCCAAAGTATCTGAGCATGTTTGGATCCAAATATTGCACACTACTTTACTTACATACATATTGTAGTTAGGAAAACAAAAGAAATACTACTTCAGTGCTGTTCACCATATTTCTCTATATCTTTCGGTCCTTACAAACTCTTTGTTTACTGTAAGTAAATGTACTTCATACATTGCCTTCTCATTTATCCCTTTTTTTAGAAACCACATCGTGTTCTTTCTTCCTCTTTCTCTTGACTCATTCATACTTCTTTCCTGTGTGTCTTGTCTGAGTTAATTGTCTTTCACTCTATGTGATCAAACCATCTCAGCGTACTACGGTACTTTTATAACGATCACTCGCTTTGCTATCCAATTCTTCTCCCAATCATTCTTGACCCTATTTCTTCTTGTTTTATCACATTTGCTTCTTAAGAAATCAATTCCCACAACATTCATCTTCAGTGTTTCTTCTAACAGCACCCTGTTTTCATATCCATATATCAAAGCGGGCAAAAGTACATTCTTGTACACAACTATTTTCACTTCTTTCAACTGAGATTCATTCCTTGCGATAGACTATGTTCTCCCACCTTCCTTTGTTGGAGATTACATCATCTTTGTACCAGTGAGCCTTTTCGCCCACTAGATAAGAGACAAAAGAAGGAAACGATTATCACACATTGTCTTTTTATCTGTTTCTTAGCTCCTTTTTTGTCAGGTAAATTCACTCTCACCTCCTCATTCATAGAATTTACCTTAATATATATTTTATCTAAATTAAATATACAATAAATTTTCTCATGTTCATAGATTTTTCAGTGACCTGTTAAAAAAAATAAAATAAAATCTGGTCTGCACATATCCTGCCCAGCTTAAAATCATTCTGAAGACAATTGTTTTATAATGTATTGTTTTTTAACAGTTATGATGATTGTTTAATGTAGAGATGCTTCATTTTACTTCATAATAGCAATAGCACTTACACTTATATACTGCTTCATAGTGCTTTACAGCCCTCTCTAAGCAATTTGTAAGCATATTGCCCCCAACAATCTGGGTCCTCATTTTACCGACCTCGGAAAGATGGAAGGCTGAGTCAACTTTGAGCCAGTCAGGATCGAACTCCTGGCAGTTGGCAGAGTAGCCTGCCATACTGCACTCTAAGAATGATATTTCAGAAAAAGACAATGTATGTTCTTTTGTCTTAGCATTTTCCCACAAATTTAGGGTCTTCTTTTTTTAGATCAACCAAGTATTGATTGCAACAGGAATCGCCCAACGTCACAAACTAAGAAACAGTGACTGGCCCAAGTTGTTGTTGAACTTAGGTATGAAAGCCAGCTGGATAAACTTAAAGGTCACTTGACTGGCTTTCATACCTAAGATGGAACTAGAATTCCTAGTCTCCTGGTTTCTAGTCTGGTGTCTTAACTGCTAGACCGAATTGTCTCTCAAAGACAGGATACAAATGTTGAACTAAAACTATATACAGGAGGAATATAATTAATTTGGAGTCCATGGCCATAATAAATCTAATAGATTATGATCATGAAGATGGTAATCTTATCAATACTTTTTTAAGGCTGTAAAAATAAAGCAAAGCGGAGTTAGGAGGTGGGACAGGAATAGTTAAATGTTTGGAAACTATTATAATAAAAAGAAATAACTCTCTAAAAGTCCAATAGCAATAGCAATAGCACTTAGACTTATATACAGCTTCATAGTGCTTTTACAGCCCTCTCTAAGTGGTTTACAGAGTTAGCATATTGCCCCCAACAATCTGGGTCCTCATTTTACCCACCTCGGAAGGATGGAAGGCTGAGTCAACCTTGAGCCTGGTGAGATTCGATCTGCTGAACTGCTGAACTAGCAGTCAGCTGAAGTAGCTGCAGTACTGCACTCTAACCACTGCGCCACCTCAGCTCTTTTCTGATGGAATATTTCTGATAGGGCTGATTTGTTCTGGATTTTAAAAAAAGTTCATTTTTTAATTTAGGATTTTATAATGTTGCTTCTGTGGCTGTTTTAAAATTAGTGCTAAATTCACTGGTAATAATGGAAGGATATTATTGTTTGTTGATTTTTTCACCCGTATACAGGTAGTCCTCAATTTACAACCATTCATTTAGTGACCATTTGAAGATACAACAGCTGTGAAAAAAGTGACTTATGACCTGTTCTCGCACTTACGACCATCACAGCATCAAATTTCAAGCACTTAAACTCCTGCATGTATTTATGAGAGTTGCTGCATTCTAGGGTCATGTGATTGTCCTGAGATGGGTGGCAAACAAATTTAATGATAATTTGCGACTTTTCCAGCCAGCTTCCAACAAGCAAAGTCAATGGAGGAAGCTGAATTCGCATAAAAATCACATGATTTACTTACCAACTGCAATGACTCGCTTAAGAACCATGGCATAAGAGATTGTAAAATCAACCACAATTCATCAACCACCTTGCTTAGCAATGGAAATTCTGGTCCTAATTGTGGCCTTAAGTCGAGGATTACTTGTAAAAGTTAAAAATAAATTAAATTACTTTTTAAAAAAGTTATATAGAAAGGAAGCTTATAAGTTCATAAAATATTGTTGATATACAGTAGGTGTCAAAAGAAATAAAAGAATGGGAAATATTTGATATTTTTTGTTTTTAATTTTCTTAGCATGGATGAAAAAAAGAAGAAACAATCCACCTACACTTGAGGTAAGGTGTGCTATTACATACACTGTATCAATTGTTTCAACTGTATTTTTATTATGTCCCGGGCTGAACATCCAGCCTTTTCACTCAATCTTTTGTCTACTACTATCATCCCAGTGTGGTTGTTAATTTTTAACTGGCTCAATAAAGATAATTCCCTGGCTTTTATACCTATCTCTGTCTCTTCAGGGCCCCCAAAAGATCCTCTAGTATTGCCTATAATTCTGGGGGTTTTTTTGCTGAATTTTCCCAGGTTCTTCAAGAATGGCTGGAATAATTAAGTGATATTTTTTCCATCTTACAGCTAATGGCAACACTACATCTTTTTTACTAGATACATTTATCCCAAAAAACTTGGAGAAAGGTGGTGCTGGAATATATAGGAAGCGTGTTAGTGTGTGTGTGTGTGTGTGCGCGTGTGTGTGTGCGCGCGTGTGTGTGTGTGTGTTGTTGAATTTAAAGGATAAGTGATCTTAAAATCTGAACGGTGAACCTAGTCCAAAGAAATTACCTATTCCTTTCCCTGCCTCCTTCTCTAAGGCATGTGTAAATCTGTGTGGCAGGTCATTTGTATCTTGATATTATTATTAAGACATTTTTTTTTCTAAAATGGCTGCCAGATAGATTGATTTGGTTTCTGTATTAGACAGCCTCTGACAACACCTGCTGATACAGTAAATGCTCTTTGACAGCTATTGAAGGGAGGGATGCTTGTGACCATATTTCTTGTTGAAATTGTTCTATAGCAAATCTCCCTGCCCACATCTTTCACTGAGGCAAGTGACAAATTATCCTCCCCCAGATCCCACTTTTTGGGAGATGTGGAAAGAATTTGAAATGTCAGTTATTGTATTTTACTGAGCCTCTATTCTATTGTCTCACTTATTGCCCCAACAGATTCATTCCCAAATCTTGCCACTATACTTAACACTGTTTTTCTGGGAACATTACTCTCTGAACTGACAAACAGAATTTCCTCTTTTCCTGCTTTCTTCTGTTGGTATCTTTGCAATCCTGTATCTGCACCATGTAATCATGCACTATGTAATAATCATTATGTAATCTGCATCATGTAAAGCGCTAGGCTTGTTGACTGGAAAGCCGGCAGCCCTGGATTGAGACCCGAGCGCCATGCAATGTTCTCACCCCAGCTCCTGCCAGCCTAGCAGCTGGAAAGCATGCAAATGCAAGTAGATAAATAGGTACCACTTTGGTGGGAAGGTAACAGCGCTCTGTGACATCATGCTGGCCACATGAGCACAGAAATGTCTTCAGACAGCTCTGGTTCAATGACCTTGAGATGGAGATGAGCACCTGCCCCCTCTTGTCAGCAACGACTAGTGGAGTAAAATCCGCAGGAACTCCTTATCATGTAATCAGGCTATGAAACAACAAAATAAAACCCTGTAAAAGTGGCAAAGGTTTTGAATGGGAAAGGATGACGCCAAAATACATTAGAATCTCCCTCTTAATGGATGAGTACTGGATCCATTACAGCATACTTCCCAAATCTGGCATTCTTCAGGTTGCTTCATCATTAACATATTTTAAAATACTTGACTGTATGAAATTACATTTACTTATTAGCAAGCTGTAGTGGCTTTCCTTACACATTACACTCACAGTGACTTATGCCCTAATCACTTCCTCATATTGCTTCCTCAACTCAACTCATTGGATGCCTCTGAAGACGATTGGAAACTGCAGTTGGTATAAATTGTTGGTGGGGATTACCTGCCAAGAGAATTTTGCAACTGCACTTTGAGCCCTGTGTTACTTTCCAGCAGGTTTCCAGGTGTAATTCAAAATATTTGTCTCTAAAGTGCTATACAGCTTGGTGCTAAGGTATCTTCAGGATTGCCTTCATCTATTAGAAATAGCCTTTCTGGTAGGTTCTTGGAAGCTTCTGGTTATTTTTTATGTACTTTTGCAAGGAAAGGGAAAATGGAGACTAGGAGATGCGGTTTCTTGGTTTCTCCACTAGGAATAGGGGATAGCCTTTCCTTGCAATTAAAACTCAAGCCACTTCTATTAATGTTTCAGAAGCTACTCTTCAGTATACGTGATGACTACTTGATTGTCAGCATGTTTGAATTTTAAATGTAACTGTTTTATTTATTTGTCTTGCACTTTGGTTGTGATATTTTTTTTCTTACAACTATTGTTATTCTACTCTTGTTACAATTTTGATTTTAAGTGATGCTTACTGTGGATGTTTTAATTGGCTGTATGCTTTTTATTGGATTGCTGTAAAATGGGATGAGTCTGTTGACTTAGCAGAATACAGTTGGAATGAAAGAACGAATGAATGAATGAATGAGTGTTCATACATTATGCTAAGCCAAAAATAAGCAAGCAGATAAGATGAGTGAATATAGCTTAGTGTGATTGTGACACTTAGTTGGTTGAGTTGAAGAAAGCTCTGGTAGTGACATTTGGAGACTCTCCTGATACCTGCCACATTAAAAATAGCAATGCTATTAAATTAAGAAAAGCCGAAGGGAAAAAACAGAAGAATTAAAAGAAAGAAGGGAAAATTGTAAGAAAAAGAAAAGTTTGTGCAACTAGCGGTAATTCTATTTCAGTACGATTCAAAAAAAATCAGATGTGTTCAATTTTAATTTTCTTCTGTGTTTTAGCAGAATAGAATAGAATAGAATAGAATAGAATAGAATAGAATAGAATAGAATAGAATAGAATTCTTTATTGACCAAGTGTGATTGGACACACAAGGAATTTGTCTTGGTGCATATGCGCTCAGTGTACATAAAAGAAAAGATACATTCATCAAGAATCATAAAGTACAACACTTAATGATAGTCATAGGGAACAAATAAGCAATCAAATCATATTAGGAAACAGTCAATATAAATCGTAAGGATACCAGACCAAGGTTACAGTCATACAGTCATAAGTGAGAGGAAATGGTGAGAAGATTAATAGTAATGCAGACTTAATAACTAGTTTGACAGTGTTGAAGGAATTTTTTGTTTAGCAGAGTGATGGCGTTCGGGAAAAAACTGTTCTTGTGTCTAGTTGTTCTGTATAGCGTAGTTTTGGGGGTTGGAGTTGAAACAGTTTATGTCCAGGATGCGAGGGGTCTGTAAATATTTTCACAGCCCTCTTTTTGACTTATGCAGTATACAGGTCCTCAGTGGAAGGCAGGTTGGTAGCATTTCTTTTTTCTGCAGTTCTAATTATCCTCTGAAGTCTGTGTCTGTCTTGTTGGGTTGCAGAGCCAAACCAGACAGTTATAGAGGTGCAGATGACAGACTCAATAATTCCTCTGTGGAACTGAATCAGCAGCTCCTTGGGCAGTTTGAGCTTTCTGAGTTGGTGCAGAAAGAACATTCTTCGTTATGCTTTTTTTATGATGTTTTTGATGTTAGGTGTCCATTTTAAGTCTTAACATATGGTAGAACCTAGAAATTTGAAGGTCTCTACTGTTGATACTGTGTTGTCTAGTATTGTAAGAGGTGGTAGTATGGAAGGGTTTCTCCTGAAGTCCACCACCATTTCTACGGTTTTGAGTGTGTTCAGTTCCAGATTTTTCTGGTCGCATAAATGTCTTCCTCTACTATGGACTCTAGATTTATTGGTCTCCTGCTTCCAGCATGTCCTCTCCCTGTAAGCAATGATTATAAGAGCTAGGAGAGGTAGGAAGAATTGTCCAACACATTGAGAGGGTTGCCAGATTTGGGCTGGCTATTACAAAATATCTTTTCATGAGCTATTAATTTTAAGACAAAACATACCTTTTTTCTTTGGATCTGTTTTTTCAAACAAGGTTCAGAAACGATCAAATGGGCTCCATTGAATGCTAATAATAAACTATTGCAAAAGGCAGATTTTGAAACAGCTTCCATCCTGCGAGGTTATCTTTACCACCTTAAAACAATAACTTCCTACCACAGGTTCTTGGGAAGGATTCAGTAGTGGATAAAAATGCCAAATCCAGCTTAAACATCTGGCAGACTGTGCTACCAAACATCATAATATTTCCCTGGAATGCCAGGAATTCATGTTATCCCTGTAAGCACCAGTGGCTTGAGGTAATATTTGGAGTTGAGAAATGGACAGAGGCAAATGATTTTGCATTCAATGTCTTTTTTCATGTCTTTATTCTTCTCTTTCCATGCATCTTGAGCCTTAAACCCAGTTTAAATAATAGTCTGCTGGACTGTTACATTCAGTTAGACTCCCTGTTTCTCATTGGAATGCTGTAAGCTGGGTGAGTTAAAGACTACTGATCTTATTAGAGTAAAAATACTCTCTTGATTTTCCCCAACACTGTTTTCTTTTATGAGGAGATAGGTTTTAATATGAAATTGAATTCATTAATGTGTTTCTTAGCTGGTATGGGAGGTCTGAAAATGGTTAAAAATAAAAAGTATGGTAAAGAACTACTTTTCATTTCTAATGTGCTATGTGTTTGCTATGCAGTAATAAAAACTAAGTGGCTTTTGAATTGCACAGTTGGATACAAGGTGAAATGTTAAAGAGAAGAGAAACTTTTCGTGACAGCTCCTGTCTTCTTCCAAACTATTTCGAGCATTTCCATAATTATTTGTTTTGACAGCCTTCTTGTCAAGGAAGGAAAATGTACTTTACTGAGTAGTAATAAGCATAAAGTTTCAATTATTATCTCCCCACCATCATCCCTAGAAGAGAATAATTAAATTGAAAATTACATTATATTTAGTTATCATAGTGTATGCTCATCTTCCTTATTTGATTGTAAGAATATTATTTATTTCAGGAATAGCATGAGAGAAACTAACTCCAATCACGGTGATTCATTTTCATTGAATTCTAAGTTCCTATCATCCAACTGCAGGATGGTTTAAGAATTATATTTTCAGTGACACTTTGCCTGCATACTTTATTTATGCTTGCCTGTTTATATATTCTGTTTCTTAAATGTAGGCTGCAACGTTTTTGTAGATTAATTGACTAGACTAGTCAATTAAAAGCTTTTAATTAATTTCTCTATAATTAAAACA